AGTGTTTGCGTCAAAAGTTGGTTTTGTCATGGAATTCATTATATCTTCGTTTGATTACAACAAATTCAAAGAAATAGCCTTTTTATAAGACTTCTTTTACACAACAAAATGAAAATTACAACTCTTGAGAAACAAACGCAGGATCGTTGTTTGGATCACTGCTTGCGTGGGATCTTTGCCTGTGCTGGGGGTGCGTTAGCCCGTGGACCACCAAATCACAGATTCTGATCGAATCGTGAGGGGTTTATGATTCTGACTTCGTTTATCGAAGTGAGAACTTGAAACGATATCTTATCAAGGTAAGATAGTCGTGCTTCTTGAAATCAAGTCAAAGCCTGAATATCAAGGGATTGCCGGAAGCTCAAGGTAAGATAGTCGTTCTTCTTGAAATCAAGTCAAAGCCTGAATATCAAGGAGTTGCCAGAAGCTCGAGTACTCTGCCCTCTCTGCTCTGGAATCAGCCTATGGATGCTCTCTGATCAGATCAGCCTTGGATCTCTGCTGGAACCCCCTCAAAGAAATCACCTCGGGGGTATTTATAACCTCTGTATGAACAGTGCTCGCGAGACAGCATTTGCTGTCTCGGCGGGCGAGACAGTGTTTGCTGTCTCGCCCAGCGAGACAGTAAATTTGCTGTCTCGCCCAGTGAGACAGTAAATACTGTCTGACAGTTTCTCGCTGTAACTGCCTTCCCACGTTTTAAACTCCGTTATTCTGGCAGTTATCAACGTGATTCTCGCTCACGACGTTCCCCACGTTCTTGAACAGTTGGTGGCCACGTGTCGGTGTAGGCGTATAAAATTGCTTATAGGTCCCTTAGCTCAGCTCGGCACAAACCGACAAACCAACGAGGCAACGAGATTGACTAATCGCACGCAAGCAACGGAATACGTTCATTCGCGTGCGGAATCAAGCCAAGTGTTGAAGAGTCAACGAGTCATCCAACCGGGAACAGACTCGGACGAATCAAGATCAGTTTCGGACTCGAACTCAGAAGTGGATTTACTGCCAAATCAGGAATCAGACTTACTGCCAAATCAGATCAACAAATCAGAGTCTCAATCAACCAAATAACGGACAAAACCGGAAAACGGACACAACTCAAAAACTCAGAAAACCCACACCTAAGGGGGCTCGGCTTAAGCCGAGCCACCCAGGTGGCCGAGCCACCTATAGGTGGCTCGGTGGCCGCCGAGCCACTTGTGGCCGGCCACCCTGTGCCCAAGGCACAGTGAGGGTAGCCTATAAATAGGCCACCCCCTTGTTCATTTGAGAAGGTTGGATTTTGGAGGAGGCGAAGCCCTGCAGGATTGGAGACTCAGATCTAAAAAAGATCTCAACTTTGGGACATCAAGGACTTGCTCATCCAGATCTGGTGCTCGGCGATCATCAACGTCAAATAAGGCAGGTGTTCGAGAGGATCGGATCTCAGATCTACGTTGCTACCCTCCGGATCTAAGCTTGGTCTTAGATCCCGAGACTTGGACGATTGTTTCCTTGGTGAAACAATCCTCCCCGGCTATTATTTCCTTGGTGGAATAATATCCGTTGTACTGCGTAGATCCGACCGGATCTAGATCGCGCGGTGGTCCACTGCAAACAACCCCGGCGCAGGCAAAGAACCCACAAAGCGAGCGACCGCAAAACAGGAGCTCGCGATTCGTTCGACAAACAAGGAAACAAAGTTGTAATTTTCATTTCTTTTCAATTTGATTTTCGTTGTAACCGGATCTTATAAAAAGACCGGATCTTTGTAATCGATAGACTATTACAAGAGTGTACAATGGAATCATTAATGAAGAAAGCAACGATTTTTCCCGCGAACATATATATTATATATTTTTTATATATAACTATAGTATGATATGGTCATTAATGTATAGTTATATATATTTTTAAGTGTACATTGTCATTAATATATACTTGTATATACTTATATATATTTCTAATGTATACTATATATAATGATAGTATGATTTGATCATTAATGTATACTTATATATACTTACATATAATATATAGCTATATACTAATATGTAAGTATATAATAATACATACTTATATAAATATAATAAGATTAATCTAATTTTTTTAATTAAATTTTAGTAAAAATACAAAAATACAAAAAATAAAAAAAATACGAGCCGAGCTCCAAGCCAACTCAGAGCCCAGTCCAATTTGACCCTAACCTGGACCCGGGCCCAACCGAGATACCCAAGGTCCGAGTCTAGGCTGGGCATTTAGGTCGGGCCCATTTGGACATCCTAGATGACCTTTCCAGTCATAACGTACATAGAATCCTTCGGAATCTTCATTCATATTGGAATACAAAAAGGTGATGAGTCAGATTTTCGTCAACATGTGGAGGCCAATAGAGAAACTAAAGCCCATGCTCATCCTCTGTCTGCCACATAGAAGTTCTTCTATTAATGGTGTAAAAAAACTGTTAATTGGCTAAAAGCTTGAATCTTTTTCAAGCGATGGAGTCCTCGGACGAAAACAAGAAGAAATTGGAGCTGATTCATGTGGCCATTAACCAACTCATTGAAGAGACAAATAAGAAGGGCAAGGATCAAGAAGAAAAAGAAGAAGAAAGCATTCTTCTCTCTAGATTGCTATCTCAGGTAAAAATACAATTGTTTCCTCTTTTTTATGGATCATTGATGCATATTTGTATATCCATTTGAAAACCCATAAAAAGAAAATGGATTTAGGATTGGACAAATATTTTGATGATTTCATTATATTTCTTATAAAGCCCACTAGTCAAAATAGCAACTTTGTAACGATTCAATCCTTTGTTCAATCTAAATTTGAAAACCCACGAAGCCATTTTGCCAATTAATGGCCATGCTTTGGATCAGTTGGATACAATGGAGAAAGATGCAGCCACCAGCTGTTTGCTGAAATGCCCATTAGAGAATGAGCAGCCTTTGACGTTGGCAACTGGAGCCAGAGAGAGTAGAGACGAAGAGGTGGAGGTGAAGGAGATAGTTAAGGAGCTTAGAATTGTGAAGAGGCAGAATGTCATTACACATTGCCTTCTCTCAGTCATGATCATTGTTACTGCGGTCTGGCAGTTCTCAGAGGCCTCACTCTTGCTTAATATGAAAGAGAAAGTAACTCATCCTATAAGAGCCGTTGGAGATATGGTAACAGGATCTATTAAGTGGAAAGGGGGGACGCCAAAGATTGAAGCACCTCCGCTTCCTCCGATAAGTGTTCCAGAGCTCCCTCACATGGATCTACCACAGTTGAATTTCAATGGGGGTGAGGAATGAACTCACTCTAAATGATCTCTGTTGGTTTGTACGAATACAAATTTAGTCCCACACCCCCACCCACACCCCTTCGTTGCTTGTGTAAGTTCTCTTCCGGTTGTATATTTGTTCTTGTGGATTATCAAAGTAAATTGTGGCCAAAGGGTTTTTCTTATAAATGTTGGTTGATGCCCTGCAAGTGTGCATTTGATTTGTTTGTTGAGTTTGATTGTCATGTTGTTAGATTCCAAATAGAAGAAAATTCAGTTAATTAAGTATAATCTCTTAAAGTTCTTAACGATTACACCAACGCTCGGAATTTGTTGTGAGGGTTGAGAGTTATATTTTTATATTCTAACACAATCATCTAATGATGTCCTAGTGGAAGTTTACGTTTAGTTTGAACTAGAGTTAGGCGTTAATCTGTTTATTGGATTCAGCACTAGCACATTCAAGTTTCAAGCATTGTTAGTTAATTTGAGTCAATTGACTTCTCTGGTATTTTATGCATAACATGCGCCTGAATTCCAATTTAGGTAAGAATAGAAGCAGTTATAATTTATTTGTTCTTACTGATGCAACTTTATTCTTCAGAAAAGTTAAGTAGCTTCATGATTTTAGATGGTTTGGTTGACCATATTGACAAGGTGAATATTCTTGTTAACAAATCTTGATAAGGAAATATTCAAGTGCAATATTAATTACGATCAATTAAAAAGGCTAGAATTCTATTACAGATATTTAATTAAATATTCTATGTTATTAGGTGATAATATGAATAATATAATATAGATAATTGATATCATCTTATCTATAGTGTCTCTTACAGTTTTGTTACTTTTTTATCAAGTGTTATCTTTATGTGATTAACACCTAGTACAACATTTACTCGTGGTATATGGTTGAAGGGCATTTACAGAGCATATATTTATCAAGTAGGAGCATTAGCAGATATATTTGTTTGCATCTCTGGTTTCTCAATTTGAAAATGCAGGCAAAAAATCAGATCATGGATCATAGGTTAATTTCGATCTCTAATATTGCCAAATAATGAACCTAATATAATATCGAGGGGTTACTATTAGAAATCGTGAACTGAAATTTACACATTTTCAACATTTTAACGTGAATCAAACTTAGCTAGTGGCAGCTTACCATTTTTTTTTTCTCTTTTTGGGGAAACCATATATTTTAATTTTGGTGTTAGCAGTTCTGAAAAGCTGAATAATTGTATTAGCCTCGTATCTTTCTAATTTTGAAATTCTAGTTTCTCAAGTGAGTTATGTCATGTATGTCTTAGATTTCATGATCTCGGTCTAGTTGATCATGGCGCTTGAATCATGATGTAGAAGAAAGACTTGAAGGGGATTTTGTTTACATATATATGTTCACTTTGGTTATGTTATCATGACTACCACGTTCCACTCTTATGGCCTTCCTTTTAATATATCATCTTTAGTTGGTAGAAGGGGTAATCTTATATTGGCTGCAACCGAAAAATGAATTTTTATTAGTGAGAAGGACTCAATTAGACTCTGCCTCTGTATCCTCTTTATTGATGATTAAGAAAAACTATTAGTAATTAGGACTAATTGCAGGTACTACTATCTTTGTAATATGAGTGTATTCTCGATATCCTGCAAACTATTTTAATAGCAGAAATACCCTTTGAACGCCAGACAATATTATTTTCCTGTTAGGTTGAGATGTCACATGAGAAGCACGTACCTTTGCGTTCAGGTTAATTGAAAAATGTCAAAATTTTCTCTCGGGGTTTAGGGGAAATAGGGCCATATGAATTTGCCATACGAATTTTAGAGGCAATAAATGCTAGTAAAATAGTTTAGGGGATATAAGTGGATACACCCTCAAGCTGTGATTAGCCATGAGAAATATCTGCTAGGCTTCTAAAGGACCACCTAAATATGCATGTCTTCTTTTCTCTCCTTTTTCTTTAACAATTTTCTTCTGTTCTTTGAATTATGTGATAATATTTCTGTTATGTATTATTATTGCACTATGCATTGATGAATTGAATGATTTGTCAGGCTTTTAAATAGAAAGATAACCGATCGAGTATTCTAGTGAAAGAAACATAGAGATGAGCATCTTAAACATTTTCTTTTTTTTTCCTTCTTTTGTAGAAAGTACTATTACCGGAAGCCTGCTTCTGGTTTTAAAAAAAAACATGGGCAGTATAGAAAACTGTAATGACATTTAGTTTTCTTCGTAGAAAACTTCTTTATATTTGTTTTATTCTGATCACGATTTTCTCTGAAAATCCTGTGTCATCGTAGGCTAATCAAGATGGGAGTAGCAAGTAGCCTGTTAAAATACTGTACAGGAGTGCCCAAGAGTCTATTTCCACCTCAAGTGACATTATTATGATTATATGCTGGAATCATGGTCTCGTTAGTCACTCTCAACCATGTGCTATCGCTAGTTTTCTGCTCTTAGTTTGTTTTATTATTATTTGTTATTATTATTAGTTGTTTTCATATCAAGTACGTGTAGTTGTAGGAAGGAACGAGAACATAAGGAGAACAAGATATTTGTTCGGAAAATTATTTATTTAGAAAGGACGAAGGATATGATATGTGTTTTTTTATGTCAATCTAAATCACTACAGGCAGTATATAATGTCAGTGTATCAATAAATATTATTACAAAGTAGTCAAAATACAATCAAATGTAACATCAGTGCAAATACCAACTTTGAAATGTATCGGTACAACATATATGATTTTCTATGTGGGGGCCCTATAGTTGTTTCTGGAGATCGAGCTTGTGTCCTATCTAGACTTTGGATTTTTTTTTTTTTCACCTTATATGAGAATTATAGGAGGAGGAAGTACATGATGATAATTTTATCTTTATTGTCAGCGCGCAACAATATAATCAGAATATTGAATGACCGTAACGAAACAATTATATCGGCATTCACTTTCCTCCTGTGGTTTTTCTACGGAGAGGCCTCTCTAGATTTTCTTTTTATTACCGTCGAAGTTGAATTAGATGTTGTCATGTGAACTGATCCCCAAACTGATTTTTTTGCCGACATTAACACAAAAACTTTGGCCCTTGTCTTGTTGGGACGCTCACCTTTTCTGTGGGCTCTGGTGATGTGTACCCTCGAAGCATCATAGCGTGCTTCTTCCTTGACAAAATAGAAGTAACAACACTCATGGGCATGACTATGAATGAGAAGCCTTCCTTGGATCTTAATCATGCTCTGCAGGATCATTTTACAAGGTTGGGAAATATGTATTTGTTTCTGATTTGTCCTCTTCCTCCCACATTAAAAGCAAGCCCACAATTGTTCTCAACAGTTTGTGGCAGGGAGAAGACAACATACATTTTAGAGAAGTTAAGCAACTGGAGTCTAGACCTCGTTTTACCATCTGGGCTTTTGCACTAGTGGGTAGATGTTACTTTACGTTTGATTTTTTTTTCCCCCTCTCTTTTTTTTCCCATGTATTCAATAATTATTTTTCCTTTCGGCAGACCAACTTTGTGTCATCTCCTAAATAAACTCAAAAATATCTCTTAGGCATAAGAATCGTTTCTTATCACTAAAAAAACACAACTTTTGGAAAAGTAATTTAGAAATTATTTAAAAATAGATCACAAAGTGAAAACATGTATTCAATTATATCGAAAACATAAATGTCATTCTTCTTGTTGGGATCATGTATGTATATGTTCAATTTCTTGACTTTTCTTGTGATATAGATTGCAGCGATAAAAATCAGACATCCTTACAGAAGAAAATAGAGAATAGCAATACACAAGCACAATTTAATACACTTTTATGATATAATTGTTCGGCTCCCACGCCCCCTATGGAATCGGGTATTATTTCATTATTATATTTATTATTTTGATGAGTATCAACTCAAACACCACACCCAATTAAAAAAACAAAAGCAAAAGAGACGGTTGTGATCGATCTTCATCCTCTCCCTCGACAGGCCCAACCCCACCCTAATTAAAAAAAACAACGCACCCAACCCTAAACCCTCTCCCGCAACCTCCGCCGCCGATCTTCCTTCCGCTAACGCCATCAAATCTAGAGGGGGAAGGTCTTCATCCTCTCCCTCGACGGCGGCGACGGCATCGGCATGTGGGGCATCCTCCCCGACATTGCCCTCTCCTACCTCTCGCGATCCCTTAAGTCCAAATCGGCCGACCCGAACGCCACCATCTCCGACTACTTCGACATCGTCGCCGGCACTGGCATCGGAGGCCTCTTTGCCGCCAGAGTGGCACAAACTGGTAGGGGGCTTTTTGTAAGGGGGTTTTTGTAAAATTTTTAATAGTTGGGAGCTCCCAAGCTCTCCACAAAATTTGTGGAGCGCTTGGGAGCTCCGATGGCTACAAGAGCCACGTCAGCCTAAGGAGATGGGTTGAGAGCGTTTAGGAGATTGCTGGAGGGTATGCAACAGGCTCCCACCGCCACGCAGGGCTTGAGAGCAGACTGTATCCTACTGCAACGTAGGTCTTGAGAGCAGGCTGTAGGAGTTTGGTGCACTTGCTCTTAGGAACGTACGAAGAGAATCGTAAAAAGTTGCACTTCTACACACTGCCCATTTCCCACCGTAGTTCATGAAATTTAAAATTTCCGGTCACGGTAAATGTGGAAAACCTTAATAAAGGGGGAAAATAAAGCTCATACATCAGCCTTATACCCCTAGTAATAAGTGAATGCTCCCACGAACTCTATCCCCGATCTTGAAACTAGATTTACCCTCTCCCTTCTTCTCTTTGACACCACACAGAATAATCAAGCACCATTTTTTTCTTCAACCTGCAAGGACCCCTCTTCTATCAAGATCAACACAAGGGTAAGTCCTCAAAGCTTTTGCTAATCTTATATTCTTTAAATTCCTAAAGATTTCTACCCAAGCCGAGCCATGTCAAGACCTCAACCGATCACCACCCTTCTCTTTCTCCTCTATATCCTCACATCCTTCAATCTGCATTGCTTCATTGAAGCCCAACAAAAGCAACCCATCAAGAGCATTGTAGTTCTAGTGCTAGAGAACAGGTCGTTTGATCACATGCTTGGTTGGATGAAGAAATCCGTCAACCCCTCAATCAATGGCCTCACTGGCTCAGAGTGCAACCCAAGCTCGACCCATGACCCCAAATCCCCTTCAGTTTGTGTCTCTAATGATGCCCAATTTGTTGATCCTGATCCTGGCCACTCATTTGAGGAGGTCTATGAGCAAGTTTTCGGGTCCGGCTCCATCCCTTCAATGTCTGGTTTTGTTCAACAAGCCCTCACAATCTCTCAAAACTTATCAGATACCGTGATGAAAGGCTTCAAACCTGAAAATTTACCAGTATTTACAGCATTAGTACGGGAGTTTGCGGTATTTGATAGATGGTTTTCATCAATTCCAGGCCCCACTCAGCCTAATAGGCTCTTTGTGTACTCTGCAACCTCCCATGGATCAGTTGGCAATGATAAATTTAATCTCTTTGAAGGGTATCCCCAAAAGACAATCTTTGATTCATTGCTAAAGGAAAATTTGGATTTTGGTGTGTATTTCAAGAACATACCAACAACATTTTTCTATAGGAATTTGAGGAGGGTGAAGCACTTTTCAAGATTCCATTGGTTTGATACATTTAAGGAGCATGCAAGAGAGGGGAAGCTTAAGAATTTGAGTGTGATTGAGCCAAGGTACTTTGATTTGGTTGGCTATGAAGCTGATGATGATCATCCTTCTCATGATGTTGCGAATGGGCAGAAGTTAGTGAAGGAGGTGTATGATGCATTGAAAGCAAGTCCTCAGTGGAATGAAAGCTTGTTGATTGTTACTTATGATGAACATGGAGGGTTCTATGATCATGTTGAGACTCCTTATGTTGGCATTCCAAATCCGGATGGGATCAAGGGACCCAGCCCGTTCTTCTTTGGGTTCGATAGGCTAGGAGTTAGAATTCCAACGATTATGGTTTCGCCATGGATCAAGAAAGGAACAGGTAAATTTACTATGTCCATTTAGTTCTTGATTATTACTCTGATGCTGATGAAGCTATTTTGAGATTTTCCTTCATGCAATTTTGTTTTCTCCCAGCATTATTAGTACTGGTTAAAATTTTAACCAATGTGATATTTGAGAAATATAGCAAAACATAATAAGATCATGTAAATTTATTTCTATAACTCAATGAGGGTACCTGTCAAACAAATATACATGTGGGCATATAAGAAGACATGGTCTTTGTTGCTATTTTTTGTTCCTTTGCTTGAATGGGTATTCATAGGACTATCTTCGTTGCCAGATATATATGAATTAACAAGAGCAACTATACTAACTCCAATTCTAACTCAAATTTTAACTAATGTGATCCTTAAGAAATGGGAACAAAATATATAAATTTCTATAGCTCAGAGATATTGGCCTCTAAGTTTAGCTTTCTTGCTCTAATGGACAAAATCGCTGATTTTGTGAACTCATGCTTCAAGGAAGAATAGATTAAACATGTTATTCAAGCATCTAAGTTATCCAATTGCCGCTGCATAAATGTAGAAGCTCCCAAGAAAAATTTCTAGTTTACTCTTATCCCTCCATCCTCTTGTATTTGATCTCTGTAAATATTAGTTCTTTTTATTATCAAACTATAAGGTGCGGCCCTTTCCTCAAAGAAAAAGCGTCTGAATTATCATGTTTCTGTGCAGTTGTTAGCAGGCCTAAGGGGCCAACCGTGACTTCTGAGTTCGAACACTCATCGATACCTGCAACCATAAAGAACATTTTCAACCTAAAATCGAATTTCTTGACCAAGAGAGATGCTTGGGCTGGAACGTTTGAGCATATCTTTAGCGAATTGGATTCACCAAGAACGGATTGCCCAGGTATGCAGTTTATTTAGAAGATCGTCCGCCATTTTCTTCGTGTTACTGCTTTATCAGGGAGAAGGGAAAATATCATTGCCCAGATTGAGGTGATCCTTTTTACTGTTTGTTTTAGTTTCATTATATCTTGACGTATAGTACACTTTCAGATTAACTCTTTTATTCTAGTCGGTAACAATTCACTTTAAGGAACAAATTTCACTATAAAATCATGCATAATAAATGTCAAATCTTGTTTGACATGCATTTAAGCAAATATCGAGTGCTTTTAATTTAGTCAAATGCTTAACTAAAAAATTTTATGTGAAGCTAATGTTGTCTAATTCTTTAAGGGTAAATTACACTAAAGTACTAAACCCCTAAAAACTTTCTGCTTTTGTAGTTAAACCCCCAATAACTTTCAAAATCGCACTAAACCCCTAATAATTTTTGTAGAAAACCTCCGATCCTTTTGGGTAAATTATGCTAAACCTCCAATTACTTTCAAAATGTCTTTCTATGTGTTTCTTTTTAAGTTTATGTGGGGTTTTCTGCAATTCCAACAGTTATCAGGGGTTTATTGCGATTTTGAGAATTTTTGGGGTTTATTGCAATTCACTGAAAGTTTGGGCCGGTTTAGCGTAGTGTAATTTACCCTTCTGTTAATGTAAAGAAACGTCATATTGATTACAAATGTTTCCGAAATATTTTTTGATGTGTTGATGGTAATGCGAAAAGAAATGATTCTCCAATTTGTATGGTGGGGGAAAATCTAATATTTTTTTAAAGCTAAACCTGTCTACACTCCATCTCTTTTGAATTCTTGAAACTTTTCAACAACACAATGAAAATGAAGTCTTCAATTTTCTGGGAGACGGTCATATTTCTGATAAAATGAAATTTGACACAATTTTAAGTGTTAAATATCATTACTTGTATCAACCGTGTAATATAGCGTATTTTAACTAAAATTTGGTAACAGTAAACCTAATAAAGCCATATCAAACTCTGCTGATGATAGCCAACTAACAATAAGCAAGGAACGCCTTATGCAACACGCGTGCAAGGTTTACTCCTCGAAGGTGCACGTGTAATTAGTCCTCTATAATAGATAAGTAACAAAAATGCATACATTTGAGATGCCTATACACACAACAAGAAAAGAGTCATCCATAGAAGTTATGTATGCCTCTCAAACCTATCTCAGTGGAGCAACATGTGATCAAATTGAGTTGTCCCTTCTTTTTCACAGAATCGCTGCCTGATGTGGCTCCTTTAAGAGGCAGAGAAGCTGGTGAAGATAGTTTCCTCTCAGAGTTCCAGAGAGAGCTAGTTGATTTGGCCAAGGCGCTTAATGGAGACTTTCCCTTAACGAGCTTGCGCGAAGAGACAAGCAAGAAGATGACGGTTAAGGAAGCTGATAAGTATGTGACTCGCTCTGTTTCGAGGTTCTTGAGGGCAAGCAAGAACGCCTTTGATTCAGGAACTGATCACTCAGCCATCGTTGATGTTAAGTCTTTTGAATCTGCTGAGACTAGATCGCCTTAGTTAATGAAGATCCATGTCCCTTGTCGAGATAACCATGTTAATTTATTGCCAAAAATCGGAGAGAAAACGTATAGTGGGTGATCATAATGTTGATAAGCCCAAGGAAATCAACTGTTTAATATGATAATATGATGTATTTGTTTTACTTGTGATAAGTAGTTTCAACTATCAACTTCTTTTAAAGCAAGAAAAACAAATGTTTTCTTCTTAATTCGGTGTTTAATAATAAATCGGAGGAAGACACTTAACATAAGCATTCGGTCGCAAAATTATAGTGTCAAACAACTAAATCTTTTTTTTAACTTCCCTCGCTTCTAGGGATGGCATGTCATGAACATGATCCTTCTGTTTTATAAGCAAAAGTAACAAAAAGCACTACCCCAATAAATGTTGAAGTTTTCGGTGTTGCTTGTAGATCATAAGCGCTATATGAAATATAATTGTGCTGTTTACCCTTTTAATATACTTTTAAACATAATGAAGACATATACAAATCATGATCAAGCTTGTCAAATCATGATCAAGCTTTGGTCCCTCCCAACGAAAAGTTTACAAACTATTGCCTGACATCGGTGCTTCTTATGCAAGAAGACCAATGATTCAAACATAATAAGCGGAAAGCATTAATTAAGAAGGTATTGCTAACTGAAAAGTCGACATCAACATCTTAAGATTTCTTTCAAGTTGATTAGAACCCCCTAAATACAACCACTGATGCCTAGTTTCCTACATAAAACACAACCATTAATGCCTTGCTTCATACATAATAGAAATGAGTAAAAACAGAATATCAATTCTCATTTTTTATTCCTACGTATCACATATCAAACACAACATGTTTACGTGTTTTTTGGAATGCTTGTTTCAATTTTAGTGAGCATTAAAAAAAATACATATAACGTACAAATATGCTGGTCAACACCTTGTTCTTTAATTACACCCCAACGTGAGAGATGGAAACGCACACTTTATTCTAACATCAATTTTCATTACATTCTTTTTTTTTTCCTCCTTCCATTTTCACTTCTCCGGATTCCCGCAATCCCCACACATACCGAAAGAGGACCAAGAGTAAAGGACTAAACCCTGTAATCGACGACATAACCTAGAGTGCACAAATACGTACAAACATATCGTACTTCGTCCTCACCGAGTAGAGCACCTTGACGAATAACAAATAAAATACAGGATAGCAACAGAAGAATCCGCACAAGAACAAATTTATCTTTTAACAAGTCACAACAGAGAAAAAGCCATGTCCCAGAAGGAGAGGGGCAAATGATTACAGGTTCATTCCTGCAGTAAATCTGTAACATGGTTTTTAAGTAAATCCTTTCTTCATTCCATCAAATCATCCCACCAAAGAAAAAACATTAAACAACCAGATAAAACATCAAATCCTCCAACAATTCAACCCCACAAGATCTAGGAAAGAGACTTAATTCCAACCCCCACAAGATCTAGGAAAGAGACTCTCAGGCATAGTTCAACCGGAATATGTCATTAAGGACATAAAAGCTTCCCTGGGGCGTCGGCATCAAATGGAACATCTGCAACCAATTTCACAGAAATTGAGAATAAACCATCAGAAACAAAATGGCAACATCAAAAGATTACATAGATATAGCTCAATAAAAATATTTCACATTTCCCTTGAAGATGGGCGTTACATATGCACAGGTTTACATGTAAAGTAAATAGAGTAAATGATATACTGTTAACTGCAACATTACATTAGGCTATATAAGTTGCTTTACAAAAAATAACCAGAAAATATGCGAAAAACATAACAGCAAAATTTTGCAACCATATTCAATCAGGTTATTCAAGGAAGATCAAAACATGACGAGCAAATTGAATAAAATAAATCCAAGATCTTAAATATATCCCGGAACAAAAGCAGGATGATGTGGGAAAATAAAAATAAAACTGAATCCAAGACGCACTTGCACCAACACAAAATGAATGAAGTCAAAACGACGTATTTCAAATCCGCAGGCTCTACCTCACAATAGATTTGTCATTAAAAACAGTAACACAAAAGTAATAACAAAAACAATAAACCATGAATCATTTCTAGACAATTTTAATCGTCCGTTCTGTCACCCCCTCAGTTAAGCTAGAAGTTAAAAAGGACATGTTGTAGACAAACATAACCAAGGCAACCTTACTCAGTTGCTTAATAAGCCATGTTTGATCACATCCTTTCAAGCTGAAGATCCAGACAATAATAAAATGGATCCTAGACAAGGACATCTAACCATGCCTCAGCTCATGCAGACCCAATATGCTGAGTAGAAAGCCAAGAACTGAAAAACAAATATTATGACTAAATGCCTCAACCCTTGAGCAGAAAATTTAAACAAAGTGCAAATATTTAAGCCAGTCCTAAGAAACAACAGTCATTTTAACCATTATAAATGCATACTTAGGCGGTTAGTAACTGTAACAGCAGCTCTATTCCAAATGCAATTTAAATTAATAAGACAACTGATGAATCAATTACAAACATTTGGTCATTAATTCAGTAGTTACAGCACATGCTCCTAAAATGGTAAAATTCAAATGGACTTTTCTTGGTAAACCAGTAAGTAAAGAAAGCAATCATCTGATCACCCCAACTGGCCAACACAAAACCCTCTATACGCCCTCACAGCCTACTTAATTGAATTGAATGTCACTCCTTACTTTCCTAGCTCTCCATCTCCTAATTTCTGTTTTCTTCTAAAAGTTTGTCTTCATCTTAATCCTTATGCATTCCCACTTCTCTTAAACTTTCAGCCAAAGTTGATGAAATCTGATATTTATCATTAACACAAAACAGAAATTACATCAGACTAAAAAGTTGTCATCAAAAGTGTCACCAGATGGGAAGTCACGGGTTTTGAACGCTTTTTAGTACAAATCAAAAGATCAGACAGATCATTCAGGAACAAAACCCGTTTATTAGGTTTAAGGCAGATATCTGGTTGTTCGGTCTTGCATTATGGTCAGATGGGTGTAAGGATGAGTAATAACATATTTCAATTATTATATTTTTCTGTTAACATATAAAGTTGACTTTAATCTCAAAACCCTGACATAAGGCATTATCATAAAGATCAATGTACAATTCACAAAAGATACATTAATGTAAATAAATGCTACCCAAAATATTCTCGATAGTGTGTATAAGTTTCAAAATGGGCTAGAATGATAGAGTGAATATTCATTTACAAGAGTTGGACCCATTATATACAATACATTAAGTATTGAATGGATGTATTATGTATTGTAATGGGGCTTTCAAACAGGTTCAATTATGTGTTTTCGGGTTTTACGGGTTTAGATCGTGCAGGACGTGATAAAAAAATCCATCCAACTGGTCCAGACTGGTTCAAACTTCATAGTTTCCAAAACCATGGATTTTCAGGTGGGTCTAGTGGATTTCATGTATGCATCCATAACTGCAATTATGCACCAATAATTAAAGTTCTGTTCCTAAATATTGTCTTAATTGATTTACTAATAAAAATAACCACTATGCCAGAAACTGCAGTAGATTGAAGGTATATACTTTTAACAATGCAATATAAGCATATGATCAGATGCCACCTTAAAAAACAATGATGCTTGACGTGTTTGGGATATGGTGATACTATAAACAGCTAGCAATGCTACTGCAGCATGCAGGCGGGGGGGGGGGGGGGGGGGGGGGATCTTGCTTTCTTTAGCCCAACACAATAGGGAAAGAAAAGTAATTCAATCTACAGGCAGTAGTCAGTAGGATTCCTTGTGTTTATATGCTAAATTATTTACTTATTCGTTATTTTAATACTCTATCATGAATATGATTTTGCTTTTGAATATTTGGGTTAAAAACATCAATTTAAAGGTACTTGATACTGCAAAATCAAAATAGCAAGTCCTCCAAAGAGCACAGGCCAGCCTAAGACACAACTAAAACTAAATTGAACTCACTTTGGTGAGTGAAGATCTTAATCTTCATTTAGATATGATAATTGAACGTGTAAAACCTGGGCAGAGTTAAAATGTCCTGACCTTATGCGTTGCTATAAATAGTGGCCACTAGCGGAGCTATTGAGGGCAAATTGCGGTAGCTAAGCCTACTGCTACGATTTCATTGATTGCGGTGAACAATAGTGCTCGTGAGCACCTTTCACTCGCCAAAGCGCTCAAAAGCGCGGAATAGCAGTAAACAACACTCATTTATCTATGCTTGAAGACTTCATTACTAATTTACTACGTCAAGTTTCAAATAGTTAATACAATTATGTATCTACTAATCAGTGTTTTCAAAGGCGATTT